ATATATATATATAAATAGTACTTTATAAACTCCTGAAATCGATTTTTAAGAGGTCAGAAGTGTCTAATTGTTTGCGTTCTCGCAGTGGGAATCACTCGTGCAGTGCCGGGAGTGTGAAATACAATGACACCGAGTCATGCTGGGGCCCCGTAAGACGCAAAGACGCCTACAGAGTGTTTCTGGTGAGTGCAGCAGCACCTGTTACAAACACACAGTCAAACACACGCACCTCGTTGGCAGCACTTATGTCACGGCAGGGTGCTGGACTCACACCGGCTGAAGGTAAGAAAGACAAACGAGACACTTAATACTTCTGCGTAATCTCTGTGGACTCCTCGCCCCACGTGTACCAGGAGGCTCTTGAGTGCCCTTGAAATTCACGTAGAGCTACAGCACATGACACCGGTTTGATTTCCTCCTTGGCTTTAGCATTGCAACAGTGATTGATGTGCGGATTCATTCATTCCGCTCTTCTCCACCCTCCTTCATCTCTAGAAATGAGGGAAGTGGCTGTCCCGTCTGCCAATAAAAAGCATTGTTTCAGCTTTTTTTTTTTTTTTCTCATCGCATGGATAAGACTCTTACTGAGTGTTAACCACAGGACATTATGCTGATTTTAGAATGTGTGCCAATATGTGCTTGCCTTAAAGATGAGGAGCTTTTTTCCCCTTCGTGCTTGGTTTGTCATCTCGTGTTGAGTTTTAAGATGAGGTCGCGTGCCGTGACTTTATGTATGTTGTGTATCTGCTGTAATTGAGTTTAGTTTATTAGATCGTTTGTATGCAGGCATTTAGGATGCTAGAAGACATAACCCACATCTTCTGTTCCCAAACTCTGAATCGTTTGACTGGAAGACCATCATTCATGATTCAATAAATCATCTTCTTTTTTTGCTTTTTGATGAAAGATTAATCCGCTCAGCTTATGAACCGAGTGTCGCTGCGGCGGTTCTGTTCCTCTCACCTTCATCTCCAACTGTCTCTGTTGTTGTGATAGAGGAAAATTGACCAATTTTGAGTCTGGGGAATGTCTGTAGGGCCCAACTGTCTGAGCCACCAGCTTTATCAGACCAGGTAAATCTGTTCCACAGGATGTTTAACCAAGCACTTGGCCATTCTAGTTGCAGCAATACAAAAAATAAAATAAAATAAAAAATCTTATTCTTGTAATTGTAATATAAAAAAATAGTGCATTGTTTAAGTGTTAAATATGCATTATTAAAACGTTAATGTAATATTATTAATACATTTAAATGATACAAATGTTATTAAAATTACTATTGCGTAGTTGCATTGAGTGTACTGAATTTGGTGTATTCTGATTAAAAATAAATAAATAAAATTGTGTCTGGAAAGAAAGATTTTCATCACTATATGAGATTAATGTGAAGAAACTTTTTCTGCATTACAGTTATGAGATTTTTGGGGCAATGTGCTTATTTGTCATGAACATGAAAATGGCAACAAATCCCAAATCTTAATGGTCCTAAAAATAGGATTTTTTTGCTGCAAATTCATTTCTTAATTTTGAGACTTTTTTTTTTTTTTTTAATCTTGTGGTGAAAAGTGAGGCAGCTATTTTTTTTTTGTGAGATTCACACTTTAAGACTGTGCCATCAAATTTACGTCAGCAAAATTAAACACGCATTGGTGCTTCAGTGTTTTAACATTACCACAAAAATGTCAGGTCACATTAGCATGCAAATGAGTGACATTTACATAAATCCACCATCTTTGCTCTAACTTTGTTTTCGCTTTCGTCTTATACCTGAGCTTGTCTGAGAACACTTAACTTATGTTAGTTTATCACTTTGATTGTTTTTTAATCGTGTTGTTAATTAGCAGTTCCTCACTGACTCTCTGTACATTTCTTTCAAAGCAAGTTAGTCAGAGTCTAACCAGAGTCCTTGTTACTTCTATGGCCTTGCATTCTAGATCAGTGCTGATCATGCAAATCTATCTCCCGTCCGATTAAGAAGACTGTTGCTGAGACGTAGCACAAAGCTATTACAGGCGCCATGATGTGAGAAAAATGAGGAGATCTAACAGTTTCACCTGTTATTATATCTTCAATCTTCAGAAATGCATTCATGGCAGTTTCTGGTTGTCCGCTGGAGTATAATAATGTTTATTATACTCCATAATGTTTCTAGCAAATATTCCAGATTATTGAATTGTATTTAAGTGCCCGTATGCCCTTTTAACATGTCTTGAATATATTCCTAAATTATCTTACTTTTGAAACCTGCCTTTAAAAAATAGTGAATTATGACCTTACAGCTATAGCGCAGATGCGTTAGTTTTTACTGCTTTTTGGCATGTTTTGACTTTGACTTGAAGCCGTACGTGGTCTGCCTGAGAATATTTGAGCGCGATGGTCAGTTGTATCCCCTCGTGGCCAGCGGGATTGATGTTTGACACATTAGTACAGCCTCATGGCATAAGCTTTAGAAAAGAAAAAAGGAAAGATTAAGAGGGATATTATGCCTTCACATAACACCTCGCCTCACTATAATCCCCGAGTGGGTGGCAGACTGTGACACTGTTCTTTCTCTACCTGTGACACACAAAGAGGGATGTTATGGATGTCTTTCTTTAGAGAAATGCGGCTAAAGAGTTTCCAGGAATGGAGTGTACTGGACTAAAGACTCTCAAACTGCATGTCTCAGCAAAGACCTTTATAGCTGCTATTCAGCGTTGTACTGCTTAACGGCCGTTCACACCGAATACAACACAACCGTACATTGTGTAAAATTTCCTGCTTCAGCAAAGCATGACATCAGTGTCTTTATTCTGACATGTATAGTAGGGATGGATGACTTGGTTGTCTCTGCTTTTTATTTTATTTTTAAAGTAGTGGTGCTTTAACAGGTGGATTTGGTAATGGACCCAGCTGTGATTGGTGTCATAAAACTGGGCAGTTTCTTGTTTAAATTCATGCCTTTTAAAACAAAACACCATGCAAATTCACCTCTTTCAACAAACTCAAATGAAAAATTTACATTTTGTAATTTACTCACCCTCATGTCATTGCAAATATTTTGTGTTCCACATTACAAAAATTTAATTTTAATTAGAATTTAAAGACACTTATTTTTGGGAACAGATGTGAGCGTTGATTTTGTTTGTTTGTTTGAGTAATATATCTGTTTTAGTATAATATATAGTATTGAATAAAGTATGTAGTTTAGAAGCACCAAACACTAAAAATGTGTCTGCTTTTTAGGTGACCTGATTTAACCTACTTCTGAATAAAATATTCATTGGAAATTAATATCGGAAGGGACTTCATCCATCAGGATTTGATTGGGTCATGAAATGTTAGACTATGATATAACTGATATATTATTTTCCCCTGCCTTCACTGATTTGTTTAATAAGTAACAGAAGTAATTTCGTATGAAGAGAAACATTTAATGATTTAAAAATGTTTTTACGTATCTTTCTCTGAAATGACCTTTATGTACTTTTATTTACATTTTAATAGTTTTATATTAAAATGTAAATAAAAGTAAATTTGCCAGCCATATATAATATACGTTTTTATATTAAAATGTAAATTTACTAGTATAATTACATTTTTTTTTTTCAGGGCATATTATATATATATTACAATAGGATCTGGGGCGGTTATGTAATTATTACATTTATGATCCAATTTACACTCCATGTTTTATGACTCATTGCACATTAGTTTTCATAATGAACAGTGTGTATGTAACAGCATGTGCTTAATTAATTTTTGTTCTCTTCTCATTTCTTCCCACTTTTCTCTTTTTTAAGTGTTAAGTAGATCACTGCAGCCAGTCACTATTTTATCTTATCATTAAAAAAAAAAATTCCAGCACTTGCTGTTCTAGCAGCACCGCAAACAAAGAGCTATTTTTGAGCTCTGGCTCAACAGCTGTCCCTGAGCAATGCTATATTTTTAAAGTCCGAGACGGATGACACACAAACCTCTGAAAATATCAGGGCTGTGGGACAAGGACACAAAGCAGCATTTCAAAGCAAAATAATAGTCATTTCTCTACCCTTAATTAAGCAGTTTTGTCAATTGTGACACTTCGGTAGATCCATTTGGGTTGTCTGAAACTGGTATGGCTAAGGCTGAATGTTTTTGTTGCCTGTAAAGTCAGACAGGCAAGCGGCAGCTTTGATCAGTAGTAAAGGTCCACACTGAATCATGTTCACTGCAAACTGTTAAGAAGATCAGTAGACTGAGTCTTCATCTGCTGTCGATTCATTTCAGTGTCCATTTTAAAGAGCTTTTTAAAGAACCAAACTATCTGTTCAGGCTTTAATGGCATCTGATCATAAGGCGCTAACACGCATCTTTTGACCGAAACGTTGTCAAACAAGCTCTCGAAAGTTTAAAAGATATACTTGAGTTCAAGTCCTAGACATTGTTCATTCATTTAGGGAATGTATTGAGAGCCTTCTGTGGATCTGCTTATATATGGAAGGGATAATGTGGAGTGAGGCTGTAAATTATATCAAGGACAGGAAGGTGTCCTCCTTTTTCTCATTGGGCTGGTAATTATTCTGAAGGGGAAGCTGGATTGATGGCTGTACATGATCACCTTTTTTCTATGGGTCCTTGTTAAATGAGCTCATTTCCTTAACCATCTTGATGGGACCTTTGTACCAAACAGTCTTGCTCATAAGCTACGTTTCTCAATGGGTCATATGATGGTCGTTTAACACAATGAAACATCTCATTGATCACTGCAAACCAGCAGATTCTTGTGGCATAAACAGAGTCGCAGTCAAGTGACCTTAATTCGTAATTTTATCATTTTATTTTCTCGAGCTTGGTGTTTTCATACAACTTGTGACACAAAGGATTTTTACTAATTTTTATTAATTTTACTTTTACAGCAATATTGTAAACATTTGAGAACTCAAGTTGTCAGCAGTAGATTTTGGTTTTGCAGCTCTCTTGGAGAAAGCTCTTAGTGTAGATGGCTCTGCAGGAATAAGACAACGCAGATGGTTTAGTGGATATTAGCACAGCAGGATGAGGAGCTTGAGCAGTGGCCCGCCAGGGGAAGAGTCCTCTCTCTAATCCACAGTGGGAGCATCGTGCCAGTGCAAACACTGGCTGACCCACAGTCACACTGCCGATTCTTGCTAAACGGGGAAGGAAGGAGTTGTCGTGAGGACAGTGAAGAGATGTGGCAGAT